ATCCTCCTGCCCTGAGCCCCCCCCAGGCACAGCTCCCTCTAGCTGGGTGGCAGGTGATTCATCAGCCTCGCCCAGTCTGGCGACCCGTGGGTCTGTATTTCCAGGGGGCGGGCAGGCTGTCAGGATAGTCCCAGACCCACCCACACCCCCGAGCACCTGCCCAGAGCTCCAACCCCCCTGGCAAGGGAACCCCCCCAGGTCGGTACCGGGCAGGTGTCCTTCCTCCGGGAGTCGGTGTTAGCCCCTGCCGTTGCAGGTCTCCCGGCTGATCACCGGCCGCTCCACCTGCTGCAGTTTGTCAGGCAGCTTCCCGTTGTGGTTCATTTCGCCCCAGCCAGCCACCTCGCACTCGGTGCCGGTGGGAACATCCGTGTCCTGCCTCTGAAAGGCCAGGACCTTCACGTGCTCATTGAGCTGTGCTGTCTCCTCCAGCTGATTTGGGGGGCAAAGGAGCCAGGGTCAGTGGGGGTGAGGGGCACAGTCGGTACGTGGCACGTGACCCCTGGCTGGGCTCTCGGCAGGATAGAACCGGAGACCTCGGGAGTCTGTCTACATTACAGCTTGGGCTCAAAGGACCAGGAGTGGGTTCAGTGCAGGACTGAATGTGGCCACTAGAGGGGGACAGAGCTGCGCCGTGGAAGGCGACTCTCGAAACACCACGCTGATTGGACACAGGCTGCTTGAACCACTGAGCTATCCCTCCCCTAAAGCCACACAGCAGTCGCAGGAACAACTGTAGAACAAAATGGCGGGGCTGCTGCCTTTTTAAAAAAAGCTGCTGACTCCTTCATTGAGACGCCATCTGCGGCTGCAAGCAAGGACAGGGAGTTACTGTGTAACCCACAGGCCTCCTGGGTGCGGTTCACTGTCCTGCAGAGCAGCACTTCGACCACTGAGAGAGAGCGCGCGAACGAGTCTGCTCTCTAGCCTGAGCCGAGAGCCAGTTGGCTTCCAGCTCATGCACGATGCTGCCGAGGCCCCGGGTTCGGTTCCGCCTGTCGGCGTCCCAGGAGACCAGCCCTGAGGCCTGCTCAGTGCCTGGCGTTCCCACCGCTGGTGAATACAAGGGGCCCTATTGCAGCTGGGGCGTCACCCCCTCCCTTGCAGTGGTGCACAGGGGTGTCCCCAGCCCGCGATGCCTGTGGGCAGAGCAGGGGGGTCCCTGGGGCTCAGCCCTGGAAGTCAACAGGAGCTCGGTGCCGTTGGGAGCTGGGCCTAGCCCCAGGCCCGCAGGAGTTTCCCCCTTGGGCTCCGGATGGAGCTATGCCCTGGCTGGCCCTGGAAGTCAACAGGAGCTCGGTGCCGTTGGGAGCTGGGCCTAGCCCCAGGCCCGCAGGAGTTTCCCCCTTGGGCTCCGGATGGAGCTATGCCCTGGCCGGGGCCACCGCGCCTGCAGGGGGGCTGGGGCCGGTGTGGCTCCCGCCCCCCCCCGCG